AATCAAATCTGCCATTTCCCCCATTTCTATCAGGAAGTTAAAATGTGCATTTGAAGCTAGCAAAATCAAAAATACACTCCTTTTAGATTTAGAGGGGAGAGGAGTAACATCCACCCACTTGCATGAAATGTCTTCATTTCCTAAAAATGCTGCTAAGCTGCAGTCCCTAGCCGACTGTATTAGTGACTTTAGTCAACACGTTTATAACATTAGCAGTATGTGCCTCCCATTATTCCTTGGTTTTTATTCATTTCATCAGGGTTTTTTTTCGAAGAAAAGTATATTTGTTATATCCTTTCCCCAAGATATTTACAGAAAATGGCATCAGCTTCGGAAACACAATGATCTTTCTTTCCCAAAACTAAGATTTTCCAAATGAAGTACTTACGCAAATCCTAGAAAACCAATGTCCAAAGTTTCATTTGCTCAAGGGAAGGTTGTTTTTTCAAGGTCTATATTGTTGGTTATCTGCTCTTTATTTACAATTGCTCATGGGTGTTTTTTGTAGGAACAGACAATGCTCAGTCAAAAATCACTTGGTTTATTGTCAAGTGTTGTACAACATTTAAATTACCGCTGTTCCAAGTGTCAACCAGCTACGTTCTCCCTCAAGCTATTCCACTTCCCAAAGTTTCTACTTTTCTTTTTCAACTAATGCTCAATATACTATGGTAGCAGGGGTGTCAAACTTAAGGCCCACGGGGTGCTCCATTTTTGCTGGCCAGGAGCCTGTTTTCATTGGCAGAGTGCTCAGGCCACCACAGGTACCAGACACAAGTGATGTCATCCTGGCCACACCCACCCTGGCCACACCCACCCTGGCCACACCCACCCCTGCCCCCCCAAGGTCAAACACAACTTTTGATATTCAGGGAACCCTTTGCCACATCACTCTGCTTATTTTAACTCAAGATTATAAGGGAAATTCTAGGAAATACACTTAGCTTACTTCAGCTACTCTCCTAGCCTTTAAGCACATCACCCCCTCGCCCCCCATCCATGTACAGAAGATCAATTTTGGTTACAGACTTAAAATTTCCCCCTCCTAGCTTGCAAGATTGTTATGCAGATCAGCCAGAAATCACTCAGTTATGAACTCCTGGCCAGTGGTGGGATGCTGCCGGTTTAACAACCAGTTCGGTGATCACACGCTTCATGTACGTGTGCTCCTGATGTACACTCTGCGCATCTGGGCAACTTTTAAAATTACTTACCTTCTATGTTACTCCTGGGGAGTAATACAGCTGAGAGGATATAGGTAAGTACAGCGCAGGGGCGGGTGGATGGGCTAACTTAATCGTCGGAGAGAATCGGTTCAATCAAAAGCTGATTGTCGGAACTAGAGATTCACCTGAACTGGTTTGAACCAGGAGAATCCCACCCCTGCTCCTGGCCTATCTCTACTTCAGATCTCATTGCAATGTGGTCCTGGATAGCACATTACTAGGAAACACCAATAGCCATTAACACACTATTTGGGAGCTTTTGACTGCCTTTTCATTTCCAGATAAATTTAAGGCCATCTATAAACTGTCACTCTCCATTCAGCTCTCCTAATCTCCAGAAAGCAAAAAAATAAATAAAAATGTTGGTAAATATTGAAGTCTAATACATGTGGAGGAATAAGATTGAATATTCACTAGCACAAGCTTGGAAAATGTCTACCACACTGTCAGATGGGGTAATAATTCATATTTTTTTTAAATGCACAGAAATGGACTCACCATGGAACTGAATAACAAAGAGGATTCGGAGTGCTATATAATTTGGAATAATTGGTACCAATATAAGTATGCATATGTACTCAGTACTTGGTTTGGGCGCCTTCTGCAGCAATGACTGCCTCAATGTGGCGTGGCATGGAAGCTATCAGCCTGTGGCACTGCTGAGGTGTTATGGAAGACCAGGATGCTTCAATAGCGGCCTTCAGCTCTTCTGCATTGTATTCAGTCTCATGTCTCTCATCTTTCTCTTGGCAATGCCCCATAGATTCTCTATGGGGTTCAGGTCAGGTGAGTTTGCTGGCCAATCAAGCACAGTAATCCCACGGTCATTGAACCAGGTTTTGGTGCTTTTGGCAGTGTGGTCAGATGTCAAGTCCTGCTGGAAAATGAAGTCAGCATCCCATAAAGCTCATCTGCGGAAGGAAGCATGAAGTGCTCCAAAATCTCCTGGTAGATGGCTGCGTTGACCCTGGACTTAATGAAGCACAGTGGACCAACACCAGCAGATGACATGGCTCCCCAAATCAACACAAACTGTGGAAACTTCACACTGGACTTCAAGCATCTTGCAGTGTGTGCCTCTCCACTCTTCCTCCAGAGGAAGGTCCTTAGTTTCCAAATTAGATGCAAAAGTTGCTCTCATCAGAAAAGAGGACTCTGGACCACTGAGCAACAGACCAGGTCTGTTTTTCTTTAGCCCTGGTAAGACGCTTCTGATGTTTGTTGTTCAGGAGCAGCTTGACAAGAGGAATACAACATTTAAAGCCCATGTCCAGGATCTGTGTGTGGTGGATCTTGATGCACTGACTCCAGCCTCAGTCTACTCCTTGTGAAAGTCCCCAACACTTTTGAATGGCCTTTTCCTGACAATCCTCTCCAGGCTGCCGTTATCCCTGCTGCTTGTGCACCTTTTTCTTCCACACTTTATCTTTCCACATAACTTTCTATTAATGTGCTTCGATACAGCACTTTGGGAACATCCAACTTCTTTTGCAATTACCTTTTGAGGCTTTCCCTCCTTATAGAGGGTGGTCAATGATGGTTTTCTGCACAACTGTCAGGTCAGCAGTCTTTCCCATGATTGTGATTCTTACTGACCCAGACTGAGAGACCATTTAAAGGCTCAGGAAAACTTTACAGGTGTTATGGTTAATTAGCTGATTAGAGTGGGTCACTTTGAGCCTAGAATATTGAACCTTTTCACAATATTCTAATTTTCTGAGATTGTGGATTTGGGGTTTTCATGAGCTGTAAGCCATAATCATCTCAATTATGACAAATCATGGTTTGAACTATCTTGCTCTGCATGTAATGAGTCTATCATATATATTAGGTTCATCTTTTACATTGCATTCCTGAAATAAAGGAACTTTTGCACAATATTCTAATTTTTTGAGTTTCACCTGTATATTTTAATATGTTAATTTTCAATAAAGGGTTTTTTAAAAATTAAAAAAAAAGATTGCATATCCAATGGAACTGAAGATGATGAGAGTTCTGGTACAGCAATCTGAAGTCTACTAAATTGCAGAAGGCTGAATTGGGAGCTGAAAACATATTTTAGCTCTTTTTTTATCCCAAGCCTTCTTCCAGTGCTTTTTAATGATTGCCAATTCCAAACTTCTCATTCTCTTCTTTAAAAACTGATTATGGGCAGCAAGTCAAGTGTCCGTTTTTAGTAATCAAAGAAGACAGATATTCTCCAGCACCATCTGTTCACAACTTGGTTCTTCAGGCCTTCTAACAGTGCATCCATTGTTGTTGTAACTGAGTGCATCCCTCTTGCACTTACGAGCCATGGTGGCACAGTGGTTAGAGTGCAGTACTGCAGGCTACTTCCACTGACTGCTGTCTGTCTGCAATTCAAATCTCACCAGGCTCAATGTTGACTCAGCCTTCCTTCTGAGGTGGGTAAAATGAGGACCCAGGTTGTTGGGGACAATATGCTGACTCTGTAAACTGCTTAGAGAGGGCTGTAAAGCATAAGTCTAAGTGCTATTGTTATTGCTCCTGAGTTTGCCCTCTCCTTTTCCTTCCTTCCACCTTTCCCAGCATTAAAGCCTTCTCCAGAGAGCTGGGTTTTTATATAATGTATCCAAAGTATGATAATCCAAATGGGTCACTAAACACTCAGTTATAGGAAGACATATAAATGACCCCACAAAAAAGGTACCATGCTTTGAATTATCACATCAGCAATGAACAATCCTGAACAGGATTCGCACCTCACATGGGGTCTACCAGGATTCTCTGTATAAAAGGGGCACAGTATCTTCCCCTCAGTGTGACTGCAGAGTCCCATGTCAAACTGTAGATCACATTGTGACTAGCTGTAAGCTGAGGGCTTACAGTCCAGTATCTGTTTTTTTAAAAAAATAAACAGTGCTGTGCTTCAATGGTTAGATGGCCCAGGCATTGATATCTGAACATAGATCTTTTTAAAGTTTATATTTTATTGGGTTCTACTCATTTAGTAGAAATGTTAATTTCTATTGCTAGTATGTTGTGTCACACTTGTGGAAAGAAATATTCATCTGGTTCAGTTCCAAGCTGGGAGAAAGATACTGGAATCATGGAGGCTGATTGGAAAGATGGTTTAATGATGAACAGAACCACACGGGTTCAGGTGCAGCTCTCCACATGGAGTTGAGTGTTGGAATTTTTTTATAGCTTCTCTTAGGCTTTGCACTTGAGCTTCCTGTTCCTGTGCAAGAACAAGTATTCTATTGACTGTTGCAAGGGTTATGAAGGGGTTATAGCTGGCTCTATAGGCAAAGTACAAATTCTAGGTGTTTGAGCTAGGTTTGATTGAAGTTTCTGAGAGTGATGCAATGAAGGGGTGTTGGGCAATTCCTATTGTGGCTGAAGGATAATCCTACCTTTGTTCAGACCTTATTACAGGGAATTTTAAAATATCCTATCTTGAATAGATTTGTACCTGCAGTATTTGTTTTGCCTATGAATAGAGCTACAGCTTAAGTGCTGACATCTGCTGAGGGGATATTAAGAAAGATGGCGGCTGCTTTCTGTCTCCAAGAGCATATCTCTCCATTCCTCCTTTAGGAAAATATATTCTTCTGCCTTTTTAAATATTTCCTAAACTATTTCATTCTTCTAGGGGAGGGGTGGATGCTAACTTTCTACATACCCTAAATAAATAAACAGTACAATAATGTAGGCCTCCTCCTTTGGACTTTCATTATTTAAACCCAATGCTTGAGGCTTTTTTGTTTTCTGAATGAAAAAAAAAACACAACACAAACAACTCACTCATGTTTTCAACATAATTTAATAAGAAGCTTCTGGTTTAAAAGGTAACCACAGCAAAGACATAAAAGAGCTGGTGGCAGTTGTTATGAAACTTGCTCTTACTCAAACCAGTCCCCAGAAGTTACACTTGTAGACTTAACTGAGTTGGAAATGTTATTGCTCAATTTGATGTATGGAATATAGAGTTGTTTTCTTTGGAGGACCTTCTAATTTTAGCAGCAAGGAAGAAGCACAAGGAGCACTGGGGGATGGGATGTGTGAATAGGAGACTCCAACTGAGAATCTTGTTATTTGAAAATGATCCAGCCAAGTGATTTTGTTCTATGTTTCGCATACTTTGGAAGAATAATGGTATAATAACATGGGGGGTGGGGAAGAGATGGGTATGCCTTTAAGAGTATTCTGATAAGGTTATATGGATGTGTGGGTAAGTTTTGCAAAAATGGACCTTAGGCCTCAAGCTGTCTAGCTTGGATTGCTCAATTTGGCAATGAACACTACATAGCTCAGATCACTTTGTGAAACATTCTATTTCAGCTACGAAGAATGACAAATGGTAAATACGGATTAAGTCTTCCTCAATCAGGTACCCTCCAAATGGGTTGGTCCCAGAATTCTCATACATCATTGAATTGAAAGCAGCAATTTTTGGAATGACAATTGGAGGACACCAGGTTGGTGCAGGGGTGATTTATTGTACTTGCCTAGTCAGATGCAAAATGCTGCTAAAGTTTTCAATAACTTCTTTTGCTTAAGTGACAATGTTCCTAAATGTTGGTGACTCTTTATTCTAACAATTGTTCATTATTACAGTACTAATAGCATTGCTGCTTGCCTGTTGTTTCAGCTCTCTAGTCCCATGCCCCATCTCAAAAGAGTTTTGAAGCTGACTCATAATCATGTTCACATCATTAACCTTAAAACACAGAGAAAGGTATTCCTGCTGAACATCTGGGGGCTAGGAAAGGAAGAAGGTGGGACATAAAATTAATCCAAGGTTATCCCCAATACTGGAACACCAATGAAAAGAACAGTTTTTGATGTAATGTGGACATATTGCAGCTGAACCAGCAAAACATCAACTTGGTTCTTAAGATACCTGAGGTCATGAAATTGGATAGGTCCAGAGATGGTTCTGGAGTATCACAAATACCTTGTGTGGAATGCCATTGATTAATTGGCACGATGCTGAGCAAACATATGGAAACCTCTATCTTATGTTTTCAGTAGAGTTCCATTGGGTGCCAACACAAAAAGCACTAAAGTTAAAAAAGTGCTGGTGGTTGGTATGTGGTGAGTCCCCCCTTTTTCAGCACCGATTTTGAGCTCTATATTAAAAAATTAGGTCAATGACAATGGAAGGCAAAGGGTGGGCATATCTTTATATTAACAGAGATGCCTTGCTTGTATCTTCCATTGGAAGAAAATGGTCCTTAGATTCAGACATACTGCCACATATTTGCTTGATTGTATTTATTTTCTATCTTTGAGACAAGTTCTGATAGGTCTCTCTCCAGCATCTAATTTTATTATTTTCCATATTCTCCTTCAAGTGGAGAACTTCATTTTTTTTTGAAGTATATATGATTCCATTCAATCATTTTTTGAGGCAAAACCAAAGAGGCCAAGTAGTGAGGCTGGGTAGCTATACATAGATATAAACATCTATTGTTAAAATTACTTGCATATTTCATTGGCTGACCTTGGCTGACCACAAAAATCAGTACAGATTTTGTATGTAGATGGAAGCCAGGAAAGTCCAAGACTATAGAAGACATTAGCAAGTAATGTCAAGAAATCTAATTTTGAGCCAGTCTCCTGGTGACTGCCTCAGTAAGTCCCTGAAGTTTTCTTGGGAAGATTTTACAAGTGGTTTGCCATTGCCTCCTTACAAGGGCTGCAACCATGTGACTGGCCTAAGGTGACCCAGGTTGCTTTGTACTAAGGCAGGACTAGAACTCATGGTCTCCTGGTTTCTAGCCCAAGCTGTCTTTCTTTTATAGATCAGGTTACGGAATTTTCTGGTTGCAATGATGGACTATAAATTAATCATTTGATCTGTAGAAGTTGGATTAACGTCAGGCTTGCAAAACCCTAACTAAATAACATAATGAAAGAATCCTAATTAAACCCTTTTGTGAGCTCAGCCAAAAATGGTCTGAGTGCAATGTTGAAGCTCAGAATACATGCAGAGTGGATTTGAATGTTCATCTCAGAGATCATGTGTCAAATGTTGGGAGTCTGACTCTGTATATTAGCCCCTTTTTAAAAGGGGAGAGAAACAAGATCCTCTGACATAGATCTTCTGTCATAGAAGATCACCAACTCCTCCTGCCATGTTTTATTACAGAAAAGCCACCAAACAGTATGAAGTGTTAAAGGTACCCAGCAAGACTTTTTCAGAAAGTTTGGAAGCCCCAATTATGTTGAATACTAATGACAAAGCATGCTTAACCTGGAAGGTTCATCTGGTTGTACATATCACCAGCACTGCTATCACCATCATCTCTCTAGGCCAGGCAGTGAGATAGAGTTGAATGGGGATGACAAACATGAGTCTATTTCTGATGGAATGTATCATTAAGAAGGATATCAATTATTTCTCCCATCCAGCTGCATATGTCTATCCAGAAAGCCTATTTACAAGAAGTCAGTGACTTCTGATGACTTTCAAGAGTAACATAGACTAACTGAGCTTGTAACTCATAACTTCATGTATGCACAATGATAGCAATATGTTCTGAGCTCCTGGCTTCCAGTAATTTGGGGTAGCCTCTCTTGACAGTTGACTTTGCCAACTGCTCTCATGGACCAATGCATTGTGACTACAGTAGCATCAACTGGCATATACGATCAAAATTCTGAAGTTATGAAATGGTTGAAAGGGGCAGGAGGGAAATGGAAACGGAAACGGAGAGTTTGATGTTAATTTTCCACTTCTCAAAAACCTGGCCTCTGCAGAACACTCAGCTATTTCTTGGACTGGTCAGTTAAAACTCTCCGAATATCTATGGAAGCTAATAAGGAAAAGAAAAACAGAAATAAGAAATAAAATGAGGTAGGTTAAAAATAGCAAAACAGATCCAATTATGTTATATCCAGAGATCAGGGGGAGAATTCAGGCTTGGAGGCAGTGGAAATAACGAATTTAAAAATACAAATAATTTGAACAAAGCATATAAAGACAAGAGATAAATTCAAACTAAAAACATACATACTTCTGCACATTTGTTGGTCATTATACAGATGGGTACATGGGGGAAGGGCAGAAAGATGAAATCTAAATGTCAGGTAACTGACCAATGAAACCTTCCTTTAATCTGCTCTCCTTCTCCTGCACTTCTTTGTACCGAGAGATGAATATTTTATTAAGATTTTCCATATTGAGAATAGAACACCATTAGATTAAAAAATACTGATCTGTATTTGGGACTTCCAACTTGGGAATATCGGAATGATGTAGTCTCTTTGTAATTTTTAGTGGAAGAAATAAAATGTACCAGTATCTACAAGGATCATGCCCCCTATCCCCCGAAGTAAAGCACAACTGTACAGAATAGGTATGATTTGGATTCAAACACATCCGAGTAAAGATGCCTTATGTATCAAGCTACTAGGGGCATTCTTTAGCCAATCTTTGGAATCTTACAATATTTCAATTAGCTTCCCATTTAGAGATACCATTTTGTTATAGCTTGGAGAAAGGCAACCAGTGGGAATGACTAACAAGAATGGCACTGCTGTTGTTGTTTTTTAAATCAATGAGCACCATTATGCAAAGATCTATAAAGAAGAGCATTGATCAGCCAGACATATTTGGCTTATGACCTTGCTGGCTGAGAATCTGGGGAGGTGGCATCTCATCCTATCTGGAGATGGCCAGGCTGGGGAAGAAGTAGTATGAACTGAAAGATTGACAAAAAGTTAACTCTATCATGCTCATATTATATTCTCCAAAGCTAGGAGTCTAGCCACTTAAATTTCCCAAAGGAATGGGACAAAATCTCATTTATACTCTTATCTGAAATATCTTGACCTGTTTGCAAAAAATAAAATAAAAAATAAAAATAAAAACAACCACAACAAAATAATCCCCACACAAATGTCCATAAAAGAAAGAAGAGTTTACAAAATATGGCCACTCTATGGTTAGGGCCTCTCACACAAAGATTAGAAATGGTACATTTATTGTGCTCTCTTGCATCAGTTTTAAGTGATAACTTTATAACAGCAGTTCTCAGCCTAACTTCCACAGATGTGTTTAATTACAACTGCCATCATTCCAAACCAACATACCCCATTTGGCTCACTAGCCATGATCATGGGAGCTCTAGTCGACCACACCTAAAAGACACCAACCAGGTCAGGGGAATCTGCCTTACATCATACTATATAATCGGTGCTAACAGGCAGACATTATTAAAACAGATATTCTGTTTTAACTTTAAGACCAGTCTCTATTCTTACAAACTCAGGATCAAGGAAAAATAATAATAATTATTTTTAAAAACCCTAGTGCCGATTCCATTATCACAGCTTAGTTTGAACACCTTGGAGAGAGATTTATTCAGCTAAACCTCTTCAGCGTTGGTCCTTCCCTGCTCAAACAGTGTTGCATTCTTGGGATCTTGAAGAAGCCTGCATTCTGAAATCCTTATGGGAAAACTGTGTTCATGTTCTCAGAATGTGGCTGCATGAGCAGACGGTGGTCCCGAAGAAAGCTACAGGATCCACAATATCTTCTTCTTTGCTTGCTTTGACAATGTAACTCTGCAAATTCAGATGTCCTTCAAAATTTAATAGATCTTAGCATCAAAATAAGCTCCAAGTGCCCTTTCGTTACCAGTTCATCATGGAATTTCTGTTCAGGGTCATGAAAAATACTTGGCTACTTCCCCCTGATCTTACCGATGCAAAAAATACCTGTTTGGAAAGAAAGCATTCTGATCAAATATAAGTGAAAAAAAAAACCCCACAATTTCTTCCTCCTTCCATATACTGTATTTAATCAGAAGGACTCAGAGACTTAATTAAATGTATGTGTTAAATTTCTCCATTTGATTATTTGTTTAAACAATCCAGTCTGCTCTTTTTATCTTAAAAAACTCAGAATAAGTTAAACTATTAAAACTATTCTCCCTGTCTTTGGACCACACTCCCAGAATTCCCATACAATATGTGATAGAGGGCACCAAGCTGATTATATCAGTGCTAATTACCAGATGACTGCAAAGAATATAAATCCTTCTATTATACCCCACCATTCAGTCTTGGATGAGAAGCGAAATGTTTTCAAGGAAAAAAACCCAAGAGAGTCTAGTTGCTTTTTGGAAAACCACCTTTGGGTCAATCATGGCCTGGATGATTGAAAGTCTCCATGGATATCAGGGAAATCAGTGCAAAATCTATAGTTATATTAATTACTTTATTGAATAGTGATATTTTGTAAATTGGGTTTGGGATAGAAGAAGATGATTGCAAGAATTTTCATCTTCCTTAGAGGGGCTGGGTTTTGGGATGTTTATTTTTCAAAAAGAAACTTCTCTGCCTCTTGTTAATACTTTTTTGAAGAGAGAATCTGATAAAATATTGGAAGTCCTTTGGATTCTTTCAAAGACTGAGACTACACAAGCTTATTTTGGGTGTGAGGGCTCTCAGTAGGATTTAAATACATTTATGTTGTGGACTAAACTCTTGATGTTTTACTTTTCAAATTTCATTGCATGAAACATGTGACCTCTTATAAAAATGAGAACAAGTTTTCAGAGCGTTTTGCAATACCTGGAAAAAATATTTCTTTGTGTGGAGTAGTACTCAAATGTTTCATATATTTCTTTTTATTAAAAAGAAAAAAAAGCTTTGCTCCTATTTTTTTTAAGCAAAACAAGCTTTTCACGTGTGTCTGTTTAGCAACCATGCAACACTGAAACATAGATTACAGAATTTTAGACTCTGAATTGACTCACACCTGGAAGCAGGTGATGCTTGTTTATTTTTACAGCGTATCTCTCAAATAACAAAGCAGATAAATCAGCCTATTTTAAAGAACGTTTAAGGGATGTAAGATCTTCAGAACATAGAATTCCCCAGCAAGCATGGCTTTTTGTTGAGAATTCTAAATGTAAAATCTGCACATCTGGAGATTGTGAAGTTCAGAACAAACAAGTGTTCAGTATTGGGGAGAAGGATGTGGACTAACATTCTGGCTCCTCCAGATGTTAGTACAGAACACATGTTTCTAAAATAAAATCCCCATAATCAGGTAGAACTAATGAGTTAGAACGCTTGGGGGGTGGAGGCTATCCACTCTGATTCGAGAACAATGACTCCAAGCAGTTAAGAGTCCTGAAAATAGACTTACCTTATCATTTCTTTCACATAGAAATTTTAACCGCTGGGCACGCTTGTGCATAAATACTCCATCCAAATGGCCTGTCTCCACTGATCGTATCTCAATAGCTTTCTCACCCCAGCCCATTATTTGATTGGAGTGAATATAGGCTTATCATAGAAAACAAACAAACAAACAGACAACTCATAAACATTCTGTAATATATTCTGATTAAAAAACAAAATGGCTTCCCCAGCAGGTATTATTATTCACAATGGAAATGTCAGAGGGTCGAAGTTCAAGACATCAACCTGGTTCCATCATTAAAATATAGGAAAATAGCTAATTCTAACTTTGCTATTGTTCAGTTGCTAAAGTATGTCTGACTCTTCACTACCCCATAGACCTTAGTACCTCAGGCTGCCTGTCCTCCACTGCTCAAACTCATGCCTGCTCCATTGAAGACCCTATTTAACCATCTCAGCCTCTGCCATGTCTTTCTCCTTTTGCTTTCAGTCTTTCCCAACATCAAGGTCTTTTCCTATGAGTCCTCTTTTCTCATTTGGTGGCCAAAGCATTTGAGCTTCAGCTTCAGTACCTGTCTTTCCAAAGGACAGTCAGGATTGACTGACTAATTTGACCTCCTTGCAGTCCAAGGGACTCTCAAGAGTCTTCTCCAACACCACAATTTGACAGTGCAATTCTTGCTTACCTCACTCTAAATATATCAATCTATGCCACTGCTTTCTTTGCCTTTAAAGAGAAGAAGGAAAAGGAGGAGAAGGAGGAGGAAGAAGAGGAAGAACTGACATACCCACTGAAGTGGGCATTTCTCCCCACTGAAGCACCACATCTTTTGTTATGCGTCCATAGGTATTCACGTATACCCCTTCGTCCTCATAGCACACAAGCATTTCCATTCCATCCGTCTTGGGTAAGATGACAATGGCATGAGGTGTAATATTGCCCTGAATCTGTATATAGAACAGAAGATCCCCCAAATCAACATTAAGTCACATTTTCAGGATAAGAAGAGCCAGCTTGCTTTGGTATAGGTCACTTTCCTTTGGAAAATAAGCAGATCAATCATCAGTCCAGTGATATTATAATATGACATGTTATATATGTGCTTGCAGGATTTCTGACTGCACATTGGTTATGTCTTCTGACAAGCTTGCCAGAGTTATGCTATAGTCTACCCATAAGACAGAAGGTTTATCAAAACTTGGCTGACAAAGTATAAGAGCTCTGGGAATAACGGGAAGCTTCTTAAAGCTCAGGCTCAAATTAAGTTTGTTTAATATCTAAGACACATATTTGGATATATTCTTGTTTAAATCCATTAATATTAGCAGAGAAATTCTGGCTTAAGTGGTTCCACTTAATTGCATTTTATATTTGATATGCTATTCTGCTAGTTTGCAAAAACATGTTCATAGCTGTTTGTGGGCAAAAAAAAATAAAATTCTTTAACTAATAAAACAAAATTAAATATCCAATTCAGTTAAAAATGGAAGCAGCACTGAACAGCAGCATTCAATGTTAGAAATTATGTAGCTATAAATGGAAACAGTATGAAGAGTTTTCTGCAGCAGGACATTCCAAAGCTATAGCTATCATAAAGACCCTCCAGAGGTTTCTACAGCTGAATTATTTCTTTTGATGACAGAATTTGAAACAAAGACTTTACAGACAATACAGATCCAATCAGTAATAATTATGGCTAAACGGGATCAGACTAGTATGGTTTCCTGCCCATCCCATTCACAAAAGTAACCATAGAGCAGCCTCAGACTTACATGACATGGTATGTAGATGTCGTAAGAATTGCCTGAATCTACATCAATAACATGAAAACCAGTATGTGACCCAAAGATGACTTTCAACCTTTGTCCTTCTTCTACTGTGAGGTCAACAAGCAATGGTTTGTGCTGAAGATCTGCAAAAGACTTTTAAAATCCTCTCAGTGAATTTTTTGGGGTGAGCAGCAAAATAAGTAAACAAATATCCTAATAATTAGAATTCAGTGGCAACAAAGCAACAGTCTTGACATTCTCCTTTTAAAAATGTGCTCTTCTATGTCTACTGGTTTACAGTCTCTGCAGATTTAGACAAAATTAACATTTTTAATATGTTGATTCTTTGGTGAGAAGCAAAAAATTAAATAAATATCGTAATAATTAGGATTCAGTGGCAACAAAGCGACAGTTTGATATTCTCCTTTTAAAAATGTGCTCTTCTATGTCTACAAGTTTGCAGTCTCTGCAGATTTAGACAAAATTAAGCTTTTAAAAATATATTGATCCATTGCAAGGAGGTCTAAAATTCCATAGGAAAGTTCCATGGGAGTTTTGCTTCTTTATTTCGAAGGATTTTTTTTTTGAGAGTGAGCCCATTCCACACAATGCATGAACAAGAATTCCTTAATCCCTTTAAGAAAACTGTACTTTCCAAGGGCTACCAGGGTGATTTATTTATTACGTTCTGATATACAGACTGGAGAAGAAACTTGAATTCTGCCCCCATCCCTGCTGCAACAATTCTATAGCTTTTGTTACACTTAAAAACTGAACAGAAAGAGGATTTTAGGAATAAAGGGGTATCTACAGCTAAATAGGAATCCCTTTTGGGTTCTGATTTAATCCAAGGTGCAGAAGATCTTGAGAGTTGCATTGTTACTTCTTTTTTGAAACGAGCATTTCAAACCCGGCACATTCAGATCTTGGACTAATGAGGCTGTGCACTTTCACTATTTATTTATTTATTTATTTATTTATCTGTCCTACACAGTGGTAAAAAAAATCAGTACACCAAATACAAGCTAGGCAAATATGACCTCATTGATGACCCTCGCTCTGTCAAGGACCTCAGAGTACTTATATCAAAAGACCTAAGTGCCAGAGGTCACTGTAACAACAGCATTGCCCAAAAGGCAATGTAAACCTAATCTTGTAAACCTAATCTTAACGAAGCTTCTCCTCCAAAAATATAGAATTGCTAACTAGGGCATACAAAACCTTTGCTAGACCAATACTCAAATATAGCTCATCTGTCTGGAATCCACACTGTATTTCAGACATTAACACAATTGAGCGAGTCCAGAATTATTTCACGAGAAGAGTACTACACTCCTCTGCTTGCAACAGAATACCCTACACCACCAGACTTGAAATTTTGGGCTTAGACAACCAAGAACTACGCTGCCTATGGTTGGACTTAAGCATAGTACACAAAATTATCTGCTACAATGTCCTACCAGTCAATGACTACTTCAGCTTCAACCGCAACAATACAAGAGCATACAACAGATACAAACTCAATGTAAACCGCTCCAAACTTGATTGCAGAAAGTCCAACTTCAGCAACAGAGTGGTCAATGCCTGGAATGTATTACCTGACTCTGTTGTTACATCCTCAAGCCCCATCCTTTAACCTTAAACTATCCACTATTGACCTCACCCCATTCCTAAGAGGTCTGTAAGGGGCATGCATAAGTGCACCATCGTGCCTACCGTCCCTGTTCTATTGTCCCCATTTATCCGTACCTATTTCCTGTATTCATACTCATGTTTACTCTTATACCTATCACCTTGTAAGTGATTGACAAATCAAATAAATAAATAATAAATAAATATTTGCTTTTAAATTCCTTAGCGAAGAACAAAATTGTTACAAAAAGTCAAAAAGGGGAAATAATCTAAGAAAAAAAATGGTTCAATTTTTTCAAATAGTTCCAAGTACTCATTGGGCCTCTTTGGGATGTACAGATTGTAGTAGAGTAGCTTGGGCCACTATTCTACCTCTTGTCCTAAGATGGAAGGAGCTATCACTTAAATCTTAAATCCAATGGCTAACTACATGGACTGCGATCTTTACAAAATCCAGGACATTACTGCAGTAATGAATCTTACAGACATTCAGATATATATGCAACCCCATCAAGCATGGCATCCAGTTAGAGCACAGCTAGTAATTTAATAGTGGCATAATCAGATTTGCTTGCTAAGAACTTTAGTGAGTAAGAAAAGCGGCTCTAATGATGTATTAATTTTTTTTTTTGCCAAGGGTGATTATTTGCTATAGGTAGCTAAATACCAGTATTGAATAACAGACATTTTTATCTGGAAAAAAAACCCCATTAATAAACGTATGAGTATTTTTGGGGTGACACAAAACACAAAACATACCTTAAATGCCATAAACTTGTGATAAGGTTTAGGAGCCCAAGCATATATCTCTACAGCATTCTTTAAGGCAATCACCAAGAACTTGATTCTCTCATATTTCACTAAAATTGAAATAAAAATAAAATTTAAAAATATCCTATTTACCTAAACTGAAGTACAAAAATAAATCATTAAAAAAAGAGCATATAAAATCAGAATCAGGCTTCTTCATAAGCCTGGATATCCTTTACACATGAAGGCAACCATTTTAATTTACTTTTCTATTTGTCACTCATATGGTTGCCCTATCTTAAGCAAATTAAAGGTGGCAACATGTTTTGAGCCTTTATAGTAATTAGAGAACTCCAATTGATACAAATGCAGGCATTTGAAGAAAGGCATGCAGTATCTGGAAGAAAACTGGATTTAAGTTAAGAAAAGTAATTTCACACATGACACTATCTTTAATACAGACTTCTTATAAACTTTTTAGTTACTTTCGCCAATACCAACAAACCTGTTGACAACCCCAATCTAGAAGGTCTCTGAAAGTAGGAAAATATAGGAAGGGGTTAATTTATGGTGTGCTGCATACATATCTCACAGATTGGGAGGCTGCATGTATGCCATTTTGAATGCTACCCCATTCGGTCATCCATTGCCGTCAGGTATTAAGGCCTACCTGACAATTGTCTAAGATATGAATTATACTGTGCATGTTTTTATATTTAGTTGCACTTACAAACAAAACGGACCTACAATCAGCTTCTTGGGACATAACCTGTTTGTAAGTAGTGGACTGTCTACATTCCTTCAGTAAGTAATATAAGATTTAAGGTTAGAACACGGTGAGCTGAAAATATTGTTTACGATAATGAAAGTAATTGATTTAAAATAGTAACTTCAGCAAATGTTGCCAAAACAAAGTAAGTCTATTGAAATCAACCAGTTCCCCTCCTCCTCCAAAAATACCAAAACAAAAACCCTTGATGTGGATCTTGTCACTGCAATGCTTTCAACTACTTGACAAGAATTAAGAGATTCATTTATTGATTAATGTTTTAGGGAAATTGGGAAATTAAGACAATGCTTGCCTATTTCACTCCTGGTCCAATTTTACATATATGAATTGAAAACAACACTGGAAAACCAACCAATCCATAACAAGTCCAATATGTGCACATTCAACCCCCACAATAATAGGTCCTATGAATCAGGTAGAGGATAATTTATGATGTGTTGTACATCACCATCCATCTTGTTTCAGAAAACTTTCTGCAATTGCTGGATTAGACACAACAAGGCTTCTATGGAAGATTTAGGGATTGTTACCAATGCCCCAAGAACATAGTTTGCTACATAGGAATTATGTGGTAGGAATACTGATTTTATGAGTTCATGTGCTCTTCACCCAAAAGAGCTTCCATCAGTACTTGTGTAATTACAAGTTTATACTTACCAACTTTATAATGGATGCACCCTTCCAAATCACCTACAGTGATCCAGCCTTGTTTCTTTTCTACCTCTGGATCATTGTGCAATATTCTATTTCTTAACCATGAAAGGTAGTAAACTCGAAGCTTATTCTTCTTTCCTGTTGAGACACATAGCTCATTTTTAATGATAGATAGACAGATAGGTAGGTAGGTAGGTAGGTAGATGATTTCACCAACTATAGACAATATGTTTCATTCATTTGCTTTTTCCTGTTTCATTATTATGATCAAGCAAGTTAATTTGGGGGATATAAGCTGTATTTTTTAAAATCCACAATACACATATGCATCACCAGGGGTGCTTCCTATTTCATTCTGTATTTATTTACAATTATTTACAATTACAATTCTGTAATTATTGAATCTGTCATCTGCACCTCTATAACTGTCCTGGCTGGCTCTGCAACCAAACAAGACAGACACAGACATTAACTGATAATTAGAACTGCAGAAAAAAAATTGCTACCAACCTGCTTGTATCTTACAATTTATATTGTTTTATTTAGTTTCCTAGTATGATTTTGATTGCTTATTTAGTATCCTATGGCTATCACCGTGTTATATCTTATCATTCATGATGAATGTATTTATGATAACTATGATCATGATTCATCACTTAAATCTTTTATGTACACTGAGAGTTTATGCACCTGAGACAAATTCCTTGTGTATCCAATCACACTTGGCCAATTAAGAATTCTCTTTTCTACCCTCTATCTCACCCAAGTGGACAAATCCATTACAATATGCTTGTGCTAGTCTTCCTGAATACTAAAATATTTTATCACCATGTATTAAAAATGGCCACTGCTGGCTTTTCTACTACAGACACAGTCAAACTGATGCCCTCCAGTTATTAAACACATCAACATGCTTCTGAATCCAGGGATTTCTGGGGAAGGTATGGTGAGGTCCTCCAGGAGAGATATGGCAAACTGAAGATGTCTGTGAAAGTGGAGCTGATGAATGAGCTTCTGGGTTGAGCCCTCCTCACTGACGGACCATAGATTGCGACTGTCCGTGGCTATGGTCTGTGCTCTTTTGTTGGAGAGCCCCGATCATTGCAATTAGGGGCTGAAGCTACCTTGGAGGGGCGGTGGAGTAAGGGGAAGCCACAAGCTAGGTTGAAGGGAGCATCTCCCCTTCTGGGCTTGGTCTTTTTCCCCCCGAAGACGACTGAAGCGGTGGTCTAAAATGGCCACCCAGAAGAGGAGGACTCAGCTGGCTTAAGATTTGTGCAGGAGGGAAGAAAGAGGTAGATAACACCTGAACCAGGACAATTGGGCGAAACAACGAAACAAAAAGTACTCCGGGATTAAGGTAACATTGAACTTTTAAGAAAAGAAAAGTGATCGCCAGAAATACAAAGGAACAGGAAAAAAAAAATAAGAAAATAATTTTGACAGTTAAGCGGGGCTTCGAACCAGGAAAGGAAGAAGCCGGAACTAAAGACTTAATTAAATTGGACTAAAATATTTTGGCAATAAACTGGCATAAAATAAAGCTGGACTTAAGATTGTCAAATAATAATAATAATAAAATTTACAAATTGGAGACTGGATTGTGCTGGAATATTGAGGTTCAAAAAACCCTAAATAAAAAAATAGGGGAAAAAGGTGAGGACTTTGTATAACGGAGAGTGCCATCTTCTGACAAAAACTTGAACTCAAACAAAAGGGAAAGCATTCTGTTTCTGTATGAACATGTGTTGATATAATGTTAAAGAAATATTGAAACAAAGTAAGAATCTTAGAAAGTGAAAGCTGAACCAGAATAAAGAAAGAAGCAAGGAAAGACTGATTGTGGGATTGATTGACGTTTTTGGTATAGACCCTGGGCTGGAACAACTGAGAACTTTAGAAAACTGGAAGAAGAAAGAAGGAAAGTAGAAGTGTTTTTTGTGGACTTCAACGATTATAAAATATAAGAGTGTGTAATGATGATATCTCTTCGCGAATTAAAAATGGAACTTAAAAATATGAGAGAATTACCACAGGAAAGAGGCGAATCACTTTGCTCTGTGTTAGAAGAAATGGAAGTGGAGATTGAAGAACAAGAAGAAAGAACTTTAGAGGAGGAGGAGTTAATTCAAGAAGACATTTTAAATAGACAATTGACACAAAGAACACTACAAAGACGAGGGGAAAGAAGGAAGGCTAAAAAGTTGAGATTTAAGAAGATAATCAAAAAGGGGAATACCTGTGAAATTAAGAGAGGTAGAAAGATCCAGCAGAAAAGGGGAAAGGAAGATATCAAGAAAGAGAGGGATATAAACCGGAATGAGAAAAGATATAGGAAAAAAGAGAGGGAGGAGAGGCAGTAAGAAACAGGTGCATGAAATAAAGAACTATGGAAATAGTAAAACGATGAAAAGAAATCGTTTTTTCAGAGATAATGGTTGATGAATTAAAAAGGGGATTCTGCAGGGTGACAAGGGGTAACAAGAATATATTTGCAATTAAAAAAATACTTAAAAATAGGATAATATAGATTATTAAAGGAGGGATAGATACTGATAACTCTTATTAGATGAATATATGTCTTTATTTTTATTCTCAAAAGAAAAGTTAAGGTTTATTGAAGAAATTGTAATAATTGAAATGGATGTGAAGATGTTTAAAAATGAAGTTAATATCAGTGACCAGAAATTGAATAGTCAATTTTTTCCCTTTTACTTCTTTTGAAATTAGAAATAAAATTAAGGGGGGGAAATATGTTGTGGAATCCAAATGAAAAGGTGTAATGATTATTATTGCAACTACTTAAAAATAATGGTTTATTGGGAATTAAGATGAGGGAATAAAGGTATATTTTAACCACTGAGGTGTCACACTCAAAACAGTAAAAGGAGGGAAACCTATGCTTGTTTCTTTTTCTTTTGTGTTAAAACTTGTATTAACCTAGAATCTATAGAAAGAATGTGTGATGGAAAGAAAATATGACAGATTAAAGAACTACTTAAATTAATAAGCTAATATAGGCTATTAAAAGGAAGGAGAGACATTGGTAACTTTTTTTTATTAGGCAAACATATATTGTTACTTTTATTTTTAAAATAAATATTAAAGGATTATATTTGAAATAATTGAAATGGAACGAAAAGATGTTTTGATTGAGATTAATGTAAGAGACTAGGATTAATTTGCTTGTTTCTCTCCTTTCGGAAAGTTTGAAATGGAAAAGGTAATAATAGAATTAAGTATGCATATATGAATGTATAACTACTGTCATATTTGTATGTAAAAGTGATGACCTGGAAATATGTTGTCCGCTAAAAAGGTTTTTTTGTTTTTATGTGAAAAAAATTAATAAAATTTGTTTAAAAAAAAGAAAGAAAGTGGAGCTGAACATGGCAAAGACCAAGGAACTGATGGGCTCAAACGTCCCTTAGAATCTCTCCAGTTAAACAGAGAATGAGAGATTACTCACATATATTCCAGATGGCTACTTTACACACAATCAGAGGAGGACAATTGTTTTCCATGAGTATTAGCACTGATGGCGAAAGGGATTACAGTCCTCTTGCTTGCAAGCCTTTTGAGGGACACTAACCTCACTTTTTCTTTACTTTTGGAAATTGCCAATTAACCATCTTAAATCTATTAGTGTTCTTTGGAATGACACGTTTGAAAAACTTTCATTGGCCAGTTTATCTTCAACTCTGAACAAACAGAAAATTAATTATAAGCTTAAGAACTTAAAGAATTTGAAATAAACAGAAAAAGCTAAACGTAATATTGATCTAAGAAAGTTATAAAATGAAGATAAATTTGAAATAATGATTGTCATTGTAGGATTTTGGAATTAATTATAAAAAATAAATAATTTCTCCTAGGAAATGGATTAATTTTGGTTATCCCGACTATTGTAAGTCATAACAAAGATAAGTTACTTTACAATTTTAGAAACTAGACACAAGAGGGACTAAAGAATCTAAACAGAAGGAAAACAATAGGAGCCTGTTCTTGATTTCCGTTAAAACTGGACACACAGAATTGCAAAAATAAAAAATGCATCAGAAATATTAAAGATCTTGGAAGAATAGAGCCAGAAATTAGTGAAGACTATATCAACATTAGTGAAAACTGTATTTCCTCTTCTCTTTATGTTTAGTTTATATTATTTTTTTATATTGTAATCAGAATTCTTAATATAAATTATATTTTAAAAAAATCACTCTTCTAATTTAGCTTGCATGGTCAATGGTCATGTATCCTGATAGTGCCATTGACCTATTGCTGCTTTAGTGAACAGAAATTACAGATAATTATCTATTGCTTTGTGATTATGAATATATAATCAATTTTATGACTACTTAAAGTAAGCAAGCATGGGAGCAAGGAGAATTTTCAGTGAAAAGCGCAAAGCCTAAGATCCTTTACACTATCATGTCATCTTGGCAGCCCAGAAGGGTGAAAACCTGATAAAAGTACTAGAGAAACAAGCCATATTGGGAGCAGAGTCTTTCACAAAGAGAAGAGACAATCTGATCTGGGTGAGTGCTGAGGCCAAGCTATCCACTAGAGCAGGGATGTCAAACTCATGTTGTTGTGGTGACGTATCATGTGATGTATCAGGACTTCCCCCCCCCCTTTGCTAAACTGGGCATCGGCATGGCCAGCGGGTGATATGTCCTGCCGCGAACTGGGAGTTTGGCAGCCCTGCACTACAGTGATGCCTTAAGAGTTAAGGGCTCCATTAGAAGGTGATTTGACCAAACAGAATCTTTTAAATCAGCAAATCAATTTGAGCAGGTCCCTCTGAACTGATCCAAGGATGTCACAGATCTGTGTGTCAGCATATGCTATTTTTGAACATACAGTGAGGTGGTTCATGCATTCATGTGAGCCAGTTGCAGTGATTTAACACATCGTGCCTCTTTTCTTCTTAATGAAATAAAAAAAAATCTACTATTTGTTTATTTCTGTAGCTTATGGGACACTGTACATCTACTGTTCCATTTGACAATGGTTTAATTTTCCAATTCACCTGGAATGGCATGGAACAGACTGAAGGATACACAGGATGGTTGCGGTAAAACTGGTCTCCTGTTCTTGTTTGAATGAAAGGAAAATTAGAATCTAAATGTATGCTAGTCATTGCTAACGCAGAATGATCCAGTCCCAATCTCACTGGCTTCTTTAATCGCAACCTGCAAAATACACCTTGGCTTTCACTACAGATGGAATTACAAGTTTGGAAGACACCAGGAATATAATGGAAGCATGATATGGTCTTGCGATTATACCTGAGATAGTTACTAGGACGTTGAGGCCTTCTAACACGTCCATTTGTTGGAATCGTCTCCTATTGATCAGATTGTACACTTTTCCTTGTCCGCTCCGATCCAACAGCATAAGCCCATTCTCGGTTCCCACCAGCAAGTTTACACCTACATAAGGCAAAGGAGATGAAACAAAAATTGGGGTCAACGATGACAAAATATGGGTATCAAAGTACAGCTGCAACACTGCAGTTAACTCGCAAATCATTTTTTTAAAAAATAAGGATGAAAGTAATATTTAGGAAACATTTTTATTGTTTTTATAAAATGCATGACCACATTTGGAACAGCTCATTGTCCTATGAAGCAAAATGGGTGAAGAATGTCTCTTCAAGACTGTTTTTGCAATCCGGATTTTTATATGAATGGTATTAAAAAAAATAGTATAATCAGAAATATCCGTTTCCATTTTAAGCCGGGGCATCTTATTCATTTGAAACAAGGGTCTCACTATTGGCTATACACTTCATTTGCTTAGGGCGGGGGGGGGGGGGGTCTTCAAACTTGACAGCTTTAAGACTTGTGGACTTCAACTCCCAGAATTCCTCCTCCAATCATGTTAGCTCACAAATTCTGGGAGTTGAAGTCCACAAGTCTTAAACTTGCCAAGTTTGAAGACCCTTGGTTTAGGGAGAGAAATTAGGAAAGCTTTGGTCCTCCAGTCCTCCTTGACTTCAGCCAATTTGGCCTATGATCAAGAATGAAAGAAAGTCATATAAGAATATCTGAAGGACAAGACATGCAGCTTCCTTCCCCGAATTAGGAATCCTTCCTAAGAGATTCACTGATTGTATGTGTGCCTTTAACTCCGTTTTGATACCACTGACACCATTGTTCAATGGCTAAATAATCAAGATATAGGGCCACAGTCTTAGCCACTCTAGTAAGGACCTTAATATTCACCATTCATGGATTTTTCCACACTTGAAATCTAGTATTTTCATCTTCTAGATACACTTCCTGAATGGACCTGAGTTTTATTTGAAAAGCACAAAGGCTTTGAGTTCTAATGATGTTATTGAAAGAAGTGATTTCTGACTTTCCCATAAAAATCATGGAGGATGAAATGTATAGGATGCTACCCATTATGCAGTTGAGGAGTAAGCAAAATTATAAGCAAAAGAAGTCAAACAAAAGCACTGTCATATGACCTGTGTAGTTAAAGTATATATGTGTGGGAAAATGCACAAATACAGAGATCTTCCCTTTGAGGATAAAAAGAGCTGACTGAACTAAGTTGCTACAGCATGTGCACATTTGTTACCCTAGATGGGGATCTTCAGTGACTGGGAGCCAGGCTAACTTGAAAGCAGGCTAAGCAAGAAACCACCTTTATGTAACCTGCTAACCAAAGACAACTCAGATACTTCAGGAAGAGAATGTCTGGATTCCTCTTACATCTAATTGCATTCTCTCATATACTGATTTTACTACTTCAAGCTTCCATCTTCTCTTCTGATAGAGAATATTTATAACTAAAAGTTGGAATAATGGGTCCATGGTGCTCTCTGAGCTGGTTTTTTTTTCTTGCAGACATTTCATTATCCAAACTAGGTAACAACATCAGTGCAGTTTGAGTAATGAAACATCTGCTAGAAAACCACTAAGCTCAGAGAGCACCAACATCCCCTCATCCTCTTTTCTTTCTAATATTTTCTTATTAACCCAGTGACTATTATTTCCACATTAAAATCTCTATGGAGGCATGTATTTATAAAATCATTGAAGCAGAAAGAAGCTAGGACTTTGAACAGACAGCTGTATTAAACTTCATTTCCTACTCAAAGCTCAAGGAATTATAATTATTGCAGCTCTTGCCAATTTTAGGAAATTCTACTTTAACGTAAATTATATTAAATATACGATTTGCAAATATTCCAACTGCAATACCAGTAAAACCATAAAAACAGTCTCTGTTTAGACTTGATGAACACAGATGGTCATGGCCTACTTAAGGACTTGACATTTGCATGTTCATTTCCACATATCCAGTCAGAACTGCAATAAAAACACTGGGCTAAATTGTATTATCTTCTGAACAGAAGTATTTTTTCTTCTCCCTCTCTTTTAATCATATCAGAGTTCATTTCTACTATTTACATGAATAATGAAATGTATACCCCATAAAGCAGCACAGAGGATTTCTGAATTGAAGCGTTTCTTGTACTTTCGGATCTCTGGGGTGTCACTATGAGGACGGATGTTGGTGGGATTCACATTTACTACAGAAATTTTTCTTGCTTCATTAAGCTTGGCCTGTTCTTGCCTCAGCAGCTCACTGGTAAATAATGCTAAAAGGGGGGAAAAACACAGCAGCAGCTTTGTTAAATATGTAACTGAGGGATTTCATCAGATTTTAATTGCACAATTCTGTAATGGTACAAAAGTCTAGGCAGCAGTGGGATCTTACTTGTTCCACTACCATTTTGGTGATTGCATGGTGCACGGGTGCAGCTTTCCACACACCAGCTGAGGCCTGCAGCACCAATCAGTTGAGAGGATAAAGAAGAGAAAAGCGCAGGGGCAGATGGGAGGGCCGATCCTGCACTTTCCTCTTCTTTATCCTCTCAGCTGATCGTTGGAGGCTTTTTTTACTACCAGATTGGGTGAACCGGTCCGAACCGGTAGCATATTATCACTGAGTCTAGGGTTGTATAGCATTCAATATGGTACCTGGGCATCTTGTTATTCTAATCATCTACATTTTAATAAATTCTCTTTAACTAAAAATAACGGAAAGCTGGTATGCCACAAGCTAAAGACCAACTCAACCCAAATGTGTCCCCATAAACTTTCTTGAACATTAAGAATAACGGGGTAGGTGCAGGTCAAACGTTTGTTTCAACATTGCCCTAGACTGAAATAGGTGAAAGACAAAGGGCATCTTGGTCTATTTGCTAAGGCAATTATTTTCTGAAGCTCTGAAGATTTCCTTTCTTTCCCTAACTCCCTGACAATTGATAGGATGCTTCAATCAGGAAGTGACTCTAGGCAGCTTACACAAGAAGATTGTCATAAAAAAATAATAATAATGAAAAATAACAAAAAAACAGAATCAGCTGAAAAATATACTACAGACATCATGGAGGGTAAGGAGAACACAAGCATATTTCCTATCAGTTACCATTGGGGATCTGATCATTTCACTCTTCTCCAAGTCTATTGAAAGAACTAGTTGTTATGGCTTTATAGAAGCCCAACAGGATTGGAACTATATGGACACCAAGGGACACATTATTTCACAGAGAAGTTGCAGCTACCAAGAAGATGCCTCATCTGGATCCCATATGATGGTTTTTGGGGTTGAGATTCCAAGTGAGATAAAAACAGGCAGAATGACAATCCTGTTGGTAAGTGGTCCCAAACTTTTTCAGTTTGGTGGCCTGGCCCGGGGAAGAGAGGTGAGTGACAGGTGCATGCGCACAGCTCCATTTATGCAAAAGACATCCACACACAACCTCCACTCCCATGAATGGAGCTTGTGCACAATTCACACAAACAGAGCTTTGCACACGAATACAAGTGCTCCATCATTGGAGGCTTTTAAGAAGGTACTGAACAGCCATTTATTAGAAATAAGTATAGATCTCCTGTGACAGCAAAGGTTTGGACTAGATGACCTCCAAGGCCCCTTCCGACTCTGTTACTGTTTCACTATGTGTTCCTTCCTTATATCCTTCCTTTTGCTACCCATATATTTCATGCAATCACCGTCTTCTTAATAACCCCATAATCCCTTGCGGGGTGGAGTCTGGGCAACTGAATGGAGCTGAGTGTTTACTGGCCAGATGCCCTTCCTGTCCCCAATGTGGAGTTATATTCAGGAGATATAATCTCAACATGTCCAGAGAGAGAACTATCTGTCTCTCCCTAGGATTGAACTCACAGCCTCCTGATTGTGAGGCAAGAGCTCTACTTCTAGGCCACCGCACCACTCATCCATGTATTTCATGCAATATGCAAAATAAATTTACCTGTAGCAGAGGATTCTTCATCATCATCTTCATCTTCATCAGTCGGAGAGGTCTGATACACTCTGGTGTCCACAAATGGGGTGAAAGAAGCTTTTGTACTGCTCCCCATGCCGTACTATAAAGGGAAGAACACAGAAATGATTCATAAGGTTGTCATCATCACCCTAATCACCCATGGTATCCTTGTGTTACAATGACTTCTATGCCCAGCTGAGCAGATCTAGGTTTGCTTGTTGGTATTTTCATTTAAGGACTACTTTAATGGTACAGATAATTCACTCCTGCAGCATCTAGTAGTGATTACATGCACAAATGACCCTTTGTGGCTCATATAGCTGAGAGAGCTAGCATTTTTTTTCCACACCAATGCTTCATTATCAAATAAGCATCACTGCGACTGTCTCTTTCGAGAGGCAAAATAATTAACCATCCTTTCCAGCAGAACCATCTGATATATTCAGCTGCATTTCATCGGGTGGTGAAAAAAACCGAGGTGGCTACACTCATGCGTGTGAACTCTTGTAGGTGGAACCTGGAAGAGCTTCATTCAAAATCCAGGGCAGGTACAATTTTGCAAAACCAGACGAGGAACCGGTCTAGCGTTGTGGGTCTGTCTTTGAGTCAATGTTGATGCCTGACAACTGCCTGGACACGACCCGGCAGTTTTTTTTGTCAAAAGTGGTTTGCTACTGCTTTCTTTTTAGGGCTGAGAAAGAGTAACTAGTCAAAGGTCAAACCCAGTTGGTTTCATGTCTATGGCAGGACTAGAACACACGGTCTCCTGGTTTCTAGCCTAGTGCTTTAATTATTACACCAAATTGGCATTATGTTAAGCTAGCATAGTTTATATAACTCATATATCTCCAGCTAGCATTGACGATTCAGTTGATCCCTACGTTTTTATGGAAAAGCAGTTATCAACACCAGAAGGTTGAAAAGTTCTGAAACATACCTTCATATTCTATAGAGGTTGTCAGTCATCCAGGTCATGGTTGCCCCAAAGGTTGTTTTTCAGGAGGCAACTGGATTTTCTTGTTTTTTGTTTTGAAGGTGTTTCGCTTCTCATCCAAGAAGCTTCTTCAGCTCTGACTGGATGGTGGGGAATGGAAAGATTTATACTCCTTGCAGACAGCTGGTCATTTGCATCCTTTTAGAGGGTCGCTGAAGCACTTGGAGGTTTTTCTGTGTCCTCAGGGTCACCTGAGTAGCACTAATGATTCCTGTAATCTGCATTTTTTTTTCTGGAAATCCGTTCATACTCCCACACCATTCAAAGGGTGTCATTCCCAAATTGTATGGCTAAAAGTCTGCAGAGATTCCATTCCCCACTATCCTTTCACAGTGAAGAAGCTTCTTGGATGAGAAGTGAAACGTCTTCAAATGAAAAAAAACAGAAAGCCCAGTTGCCTCCTGAAGAACCTCCTTTGGGACATACTGTCAAATTGCACCACAGTGATAAAAGTGCAATGTTTAGTTATACAGATTGGCAGCTGCAAATTTTCTCGAAAACGAGTGGGACAGCATTCTGCCCCCTTTCTGTATCAGTGCCCATTAACATTTTTTTCCTTTTCCCTAATTAATACATCCCCTTATTCTTTTCCTTCCCCAAGACCCAGAAAACAAGAGCACCCTCCTTAGTGACTCCCATGAAGCCTGGGATTCTGCCATGTTTAATTTGTTTTCCAACGTTGTGGCCTAAAACAAATGTAAGAACTGGAGGCTACTTAAAAACAAGGGGGATAGATTGTCCTTGATGTACAACCATTCATTTAAGGATGGTTTGAAGCTACAATGTCGTTGGAAAAAAAAATGACTTAGGATCAAGCCACATCAATAGGGAAGCCAGCACAGAAGGTTGCAATGTAATATTTAACGACTGCGGCAAAAAAGGCAGTAAACTTGAGTGTGGTCATATGATGCCTCACTTAATAACCATGCCACTTAATGACAAATTTTCCAGTCCCGATCATGGTGGCAACCTGAGGAATACCTGGATTTGTGTGGGGGTTTTTTTGTGCGGGGATTTGTGTGTGGGTCCATAAACAGGAAATCAAAGAAAATGAATTCATAGTGTCTGGATGTTTTGTTTTGTTTTGGAAATAGTAATAGCACTTAGACTTCTATATTGCTTCACAGTGTTTTACAGCCCTCTCTAAGTGGTTTACAGAGTCAGCATACTGCCCCCAATGATCAGGGTCCTCATTTTACCCACCTGGGAAGGATGGAAGGCAGAGTTCAACCTTGCCTACTTGCCTCCAAAATCAAAGATAAGATTCCCTTGTGGAGGAAAATATCAAGTCCCGGAAGCTGGGTAAGATCAAGGAAGCAAGAACTGCAGAGAATTTGGTAAAGTATCTTTAATGACAGTCTTGGGAAAACTGCCAAAGAAATTTCCAACCCACATCGACATAAGTGAAGTCACTAAGGTGGAGTCTCTTTGAATGATCTGAAATCCCTTCTTCCCAAGTGTCTTTTTTGGCATCTGAACTAAACTGTCATTTATGAGATTAGCTATAAATGGACTCCCTGGCTGTCTCTTGGCTGTTTGCTTATTTTCCCTTCTATTCCTTTTGCAGCCTCCTTGCAATCTCACTGATATATTCCTTTCAATAGCTGCAAAGCCTGTGCAAGGGCTAAGCTCTTGATCCTCCCCCGCCCGTATGCTGTTTATCCAGGGCCTGCTATATTTATGACCTCTATTAGGAATCATAATAATAGGAAGCAGCAAGGGG